CGTCTTCCTTATCCACTTAATTTCTTAATCAATCTATGTTTTTTCAAATATATAATTGGTAAAGAAAGTTTTGGGTTATACATTGAAGTATGAAAGATAACACTCCAATATATCTCAACATATCTTATTTCGTTGAACTCGTCTTTTGAATCAAAAGTCTACTTTTTATAACCTAATGCAATAAATTTTCTGTACTTGGTAACTTAATTACATAGGTAAACTTATCTAAAGTATCTGGTTTCTGATAGATTCCTTGTAGAATTTGCTAAGAGAAACTGATACTTAATTTCATTGCACTGGAGGAGAACCAAGCAAAACCGAAACTCTTCTCGTCTTGCCCTTGATATAAGGCCAACGGCTAAATGGACTTCCAGCAGATAGGTAGCTAAGCCTTCGACGGCTATCAACTTTTCACTTAAATCTAAAGTAGGTTGATTCAATGCCCTTCATAATAAGCTAAACGATAAAAGGACTTCGAATAAACAAGGCATGAAGTATCCGAGGATTCCCTGTTTTATCAAAACGCTTTCATAGAAGAACTTTCAAAGAAATTCAGTTGCCTAATATTCATAATATGCATGGAGAAAACAAGCAGTTTTCAGCTGCCCTCCTATTCAACTATAAAAAATGAAAACTAACCTCAAATAATATACTTCATTGGTGGCTTTTAAATCTTTATCGAACAAAAGACAAGAAAATATCACTGCTTGGAAATAAAATGATGCAACTTAGCTGAAGAACTTCAGTTTCTGAAATAATAAATATCTTTTAAAGACCACGAATGAAGTAAGTATTAAAAATCAAAAACAAAATTTCATTCTTAGAGTTAGACTTTATGAGGAAATGTAATACTTCCCTTAACTTCTAAAAATGTAATATTTCGGTACTATTTTTTATTCAGAAAACAAAGCTAAAAACCTTTTGAGTTCTGCAAGCCTTTTTCTTCTTATATATCTGATCTCTAGATTTGTACTGATCGCATTGTTTTTAATATATAATATTTATATCACAATAGCGCATAGCATAAACTTTTACAGTGGCAGTTATTTAAAGACTTTGCTACACGCCGACGTGTATTATAAAAGCCATTCTTTTAAATTTTTTCTCGATGATATTAATGATCTATTCATATTATTTTCTCAGATATTCTCATAAAATAATTATTCGATAATTATGTATTTTGCCTTCGGCCGTTTTTGATAATATTTGCGAAACAGAGCAGTTTATTACCAATAATGGAAAAGCATGGCATGACACACACTCATAAGAATTTCAATGTTATGTTGCCTTCAACAGAACAAGAAAAAGTGTATTTTCCAAGTTGCGACCATGTTTTCTGATGCACATACTTTCAACGGTACAAGACTGCGAAGTTTTTCAAAATGGCGGAATGAAACATACTGTGGAACAGCGCGACACCTCTTTGATTCGTATTTAAGTGAATTTATGTCATCGAATTCCTAAGAAAGGTAACAATTTTGCTATTATTTTATATTTCATTAGGGATTTTTGACGGCCGTAATAATTTGTTCCATTTTTAATGAATTTCTTAGTCAAATAACTCCTCGTAATTTTTTATGTTTCAAAATGCCATATTTGTAATTTAAATCTGTTGCTTATCCAATTAAATAAAGAGCGATACGTTATTATCTAAGTAAATAAATGAAATCTACTCCTTCAAACTTCCAACAGAATCGTTAACGAAGTTTTAGTAGGATCTCTGCCAAATTTCATGGTCGGCGGGAAAATACGTATTTATTGTTCTCTTTACAGCTTAATACTTACTATGTAACTTCTTCAAAGTTGTCAGAAATTTTTCTTTAAAAATTCTTAACTGTTGCTTGCCACGTGATGATAATTCTTCAAAAATTAATTCCATAACGCAAAGGTTATGCATTTGAAAATAATTGTTGATTTTCTTATTTTCTTCTTACGGAGCATTTTTATATTAAAAAGAAAACTCTTACTAGTTTTTCTTATGATAGTTTATATGTTAACTTTTCTGAAGCTGAGGATAAAAGCTATTTTCTAAAGGTTTTAGAAATTTCTGATAAACTAGCAAGGAATGTTAGAAAAAATAGAAAAAAGAGAAAAAAGGTGGAGTAGGTGAAAAGCTGCTAGTTTTTAATTAAACCTCAGATCTCTTGCAGAAATGGAATATTCATTGGTTAGTAAAGCATGGTTCTATTCATAAACTTGCTTCAGTTAAAAAAAATTCCAATTTTTCTTTGAAATGAAAAATGTGTGAAATGGGTCTACGCTCCCCGTCAATCTTAATTTTTAAATTATATTACTGTAATAATTATGACATCTAAAACTTGTGTGCATATCTGAAAATCCACTGACTAGGACATAAATAAAATTTCACAATTTGAAAATCCATTTGTAGATTTTGAAAATCCACTGGCAATATCTCAGTAACATTTTTGTTCATTTAGCATTATGTTATCTGTGTCTTATGTATTTTAGCACTGCAAAATCAATTAATTTTTAGTTGAATTAATTGTCTATCCAATAGTATGTCTTATCATATAAATATAACTGATATGAAAATAAAATACCGGGTGACCCAAAAGTCTGTTAACGTTTGAAAGTTCAATAATTCACTGAATGACGTAGGTAGAGAGGTTAAAAACTAACATAAATGCTTGACATGTCGTGGCGTTTTAATGAAAGCACAAAAAAAAAAAAAATCTTAAAACGGCCAATAGCTGACGCTTCATGTGATAACAAAAGCAATAATTAACATAACGATTGATTCTTAACAAAGTTTATGTTCTTTATAACAAATATTCAACATGTCGGTCGTCATTCATCAACAATACCTGTAAGCACTGTACAGCATAATTGTAGGTATGGTGAGAAATTGTCGTCGGATGTCTTATGGAATCTCTAATGAGGTCAGACGATCGCTGTAGACTTGCGATTTCAGATAACCCCACAAACAACAATAACACGAATTGAGCTCTGGGGACTCAAGAGGTCAAGTATTATGGAAGTGGAAGCTCAGCACGCGATCGTTATCAAACGATGTGTGCAAGACATCTTTCACACGTGTAGCAATATGGGGTGGAACTCCATCCTGCATAAAAGACATACCTTCCAACAGATGTTTATCAGCCAGCCTAAGATGATGCGATTCTGTAACATATCTGCATGCCTCGCACCTGTCACACTGACAGTTTGAATAGCAAAACTACGCATTTCGTCGAAGAAAAAGGGTCTGATCTTCATTGACGTGATAAATCCCCATTACATTGTGACCAACACTCGCAGGCGAGGATAGAAAAGTGAAATCACAAAAGGACTGATTCCCTTTCTCACTGATTCCTTTTTCTCAAGCTCATTTCATACACGATTCGCATCCCGCGTCACTGGCATTTTGCTGCCTAGCGCCATATGCTGATCTTTTTTCCCCTTTCCCCCTTTCTCTCCCAATAAAATACCATGTCTTTTGAAGCATATCTCTCAGTTTTTACCTGTCTAGCTACATTATCCCATGAATTATTGAATTTTCAAATGTTAACTGACTTTTGGATCAGCCGGTGAATTACTTTTCTAGAGCTCTTTTCAGGAAAGTTTTAAAAAATTTTAATCGAACTTAAATTTAGAAATTTCATAAGTTTTGCATTTGTTCACGTACGCAAATTTTGCATGCTGTCAATTATATTTGTTTCGAAAACTGAATAGTAAAATAAAGGTAAGGGTTTCTTTCACTTGTAAACGATCCAAATTTAATTTTTGGCTTCAATAATTTCTCTGCACACTGGAAAAAAAATTTTAGGTAAAAAATTCCTGTTGGTTCAGAAGTACTGATCGCAACTTCATCTTCAAAGGTGCAATACTTCATCATCCGGACAACACAGTCCTAAATTTTGCAGTTCTGGTCTATCCGTTTCTACTCTATACGACGAACCGAAGTATTTACAGATTCTTCATTTTATAATAATAATCTAACAAACTAATTATATTTGGGCTTCTTGATAAAACACATAGCTTATTTCTATTCCGTTTGAACTATACTATTTTCCCTTTATTTTCCTAGTATATGTAAATAAATAATGTAAACTTATATATAAAATAATTATAAATTATTCGATAAATGTATATTTAAAGCGTTAAATTGTATATTAAAAACGTTAAAAACCCACTGATAAATTCTCAAACCCAGTTTTACTTGGCTAGAAAGAACAAGAAGCGATTCGTATAACTGGAGTCTGTATGAATGGGGCTCTATTCTATTAAAAAAATAAAATGGGAATTATAAATTATTCAAGATTAAAATCAAAGTTATGTGACCATTAAAATTCAAATAAAAATATTAAGCTGTTAGCAGAAGCTTTAAACAAAATTATGTATATCTTTACAAAAGTCAGCTTAGCTCGGAATCAAATTCAACCATCTGCTCAACTTTCTAATCCATAACAATATGTTTAAAACTTATGTATATTATAAATATTGCCCACCATTCAGTCTTCAACCAAATATTCGATGCTTGTTCTTTTCATAATATTGTTTAATATACGTCACATATATATTTTCATAATATTGTTTGATATATACTATTACTATAAAAATATTTTTACGTCTTTACTTTTTCATGTCTAATTATGTGCCGAAAAAACTATAAATTTTTCATTACTTGGAATCTAACAAGAAATCATTTCTCCTAATGTAATATTTCAAATCCTTCTGATTAGCCTTTGCTTGTATCTAATGAAAAGCATTTATTTAGCACTTCAGAGATCCTAACACATATTATTTGTGTTTATGTCGTATATGTCCTGCACCCTTTGTTTTAGTGTCATGTAATCTATTTATTTTATCCAGGAGGACTAACTTTCTAGTCTTCTAAATACGTCTATAAAGTGGCAAACTGTTCAATGAAAAAATTTTGTTTGTTTCAAAAGGAAAAGCTGTGGGTGGGCGAGGTACTAAATTGGTAATGAAAGGGTAAGAATAAGTGGGAACTTCGGGGCATTCAGGGCTGTAAGACTTACCGCTGCCCCGAAGATAGTTGGATATATACATCAGAAATTTCTTCTAGACTACTATTACAGGAGAAGAACAAATTAGTGGAAGAATCAGAACTACAACAGGAGTCGTCATTACTTGTTGGTTCGAGGGCAGATATCGTAGGTAGAGCAAAAGGCCTGCGGCAGAGTGGGGAGTAGCGAGAAGTGGGGCTTCTGGTACCATCAGGAGAGGTTCTGGAAACTTCGTTGTTCCGAAATCTGGTGTAATTCGGCCTTTCTTGACCAGTGATGTCGTCCAGAGTAAGACGTCTCGTCGGTGTAGATGGCCTACTGCTTATGTGAAGACTTGCCGGTCGTTGACTGACATCTTGTTTGGGCTCTTGCTCAGTTTTATCTGGCAGAGGCCTATCGTAACGAGTGTCACTCTGGTGGCGGGTGTAAGTGTACCTACGAGGTGTGCTATCATCCCGAAGCCCCACAGATTCCTTACTATTCCCCACCTCCTTTTCGTTTGGTTCTAACTCTATATCAGTATTCGATACTTGCCTGGAAGAATTCCTTGAAGACTCGTTGGCTGGCTCGTCCAGACTAGTTGTACCGCTTAGACGTCTCCTGCTTCTGGAACTTTCAGAATTCCCCACAGTTTCTGGAGCATGAGTGGATTCAGTCTGATCCGCTGGGGTGGCTCGAGTAGATTCCGCATTACTTTCCCTTCTTAGTAAAACATTCGAAGACGTTTCAGGAGGAGAAACGGTTGGTGTTGTCGAAGAACTAGCTTGTTGATTTGCCTTTTTTTGGCGATCAATATCATCCTCGCTTTGTTGTCGAGATGTTTGCCTCTTAGGTTGGGCTGCAACAGGCGCAACAACAGTAGGTGTAATTGCTGATGGAGTAGTTACCTTTTCTTTGTCAGATGTCGATTGTTTTTGCTTTACTTCGTTTTGGTGAAGTCTTTCCATGATTTTTGGTGAATCCAAAAGCCGCACTACTCCACTCAAAGGACCTTTAGTGGCATCATCAACATCAAAAATTTTCTCCCTTTGTTGCTGTTCGTCGGCAAATCTTACAGTCCTTCCTTGATGGGGCTCGGGATCACAATCCTCGTAATCACGAGGGTATCGATTTCTGTGACTATACTCATCGGCATTGCTATCCCGCCACCGAGAGCTCAAAGAATTATCTTCTCTAGAATAACGGTTCGAAACTCGATCCTGATAATCATAATCTCGAGATCTCTCACTGTACCTGCGATAACCATCCGTTTCGCGACGTCCGCGACCTAGTAATGGTGAAGTAGGTCGCCCACTGTCTCTCTCACTATCTATTCGCTGGTTAATGTCCGAAAAAGAACGATTGTCACATCTACGAGCGAATTGGGCCGCTAATCTGTGATCACTTTGGCTTCTCATCAGTGCATTTGATGGCGGCATGAGAGACTGCTGCGTAGGTATAGGATTCATCGGTGCATTAATTTTTAATTCACCGAAATCTGCAATGTTGCGATGCAGGACATCAGGATCAGCACGGGGTTGGAATTTTATTCTCCTTGAAAAGTCAGAACCATCTGGGTCGAAAGTGCGCAGAAAATCGAGCATTTTTAGAAAGATTTGCTTATATTCCAAAAGTTCTAAATCGGACCATTCGAAATCATCTTTAATATATTTGTCTACCAAGTCACAGTTGCTCGTAATATTTGAAACTTCGATTTCCAAATCTTCTTTGAGTTTGGTTATCGCTTTCATCTCTGTTTGTGTGTACATTTCTAAGTCATGCTTCAGCTTATCTTCCGTGACTTTAAGGTCCTTAGAATACCTTCGAACTATGTCTTCGATCTCTTCTTTCACCTGATTACAATTAAACTGCAACTTTTCTGCGTTCTTTTTTGTTTGGGTCAGTGCCTCTGACAATCTGTGCAAACCTCTCCTAACCTGATTGTTGATTCTATTTATTTCTCTACGCAATATATCTATATGAGCTTCCTTGCAGTCGGGGCATATTTTCTTTTCACAATGAGCGCATCTTTCGACATTGGCTTTTTCACTGCAAACGCTACAGCGTTCCATCATAGATGGCGGGGGTTCTGGTTCTTCACCAGTGATATCTCTGTGAAGTTCGAGGAACCTCATAAGTGTTACGTTTGTTGGAAACTGTTGGATACCTTGGTAGGGTATACGATGTTCAGCCCGACATTCTGGGCACTTAATTTGTCGACGCGCATAGTCTATGAGGCCCTCTAAGCAGGGTTCCATACAAAATGTGTGCTGACATGGTAATAATTTAGGATTTCGATACCTGTCCAAGCAGATAGCGCAAGTTAGAAGCTGGTCCAGCTGACTCCAAGCAGATGCCATTATAAATTCTTCTAGTTTGTGACTGCACTATGATAAATTTTTGTTATTGAATTTTTCTATGGCTCTAATATTAAACTACTGTTTACAGTTTCGACAATAACAGTGACATAAATAATTCAACAATAAACATTTTCTTATCAGAATTAAAATAAGTATTCTATTATTACATGCCTACGCACTTCCGATAACTGTTCACACGATCATCACTACGCGTGAGAGAAAAAGTAATTTTGCGCAAAAAAAGTTTCAGAAAATGTCTCTACAAAATTGCTCTCTAAATGGAAAAATATTTTGCATAACGTTAGTATCACACAAGTTTGTTATAAGTGATGCAAGTTATTTCGAAGCATTAGTTGACTCTCAAAAAACGTTGGGTTAAGTTTAAAAAGCAGACGAAAACAAGCATTTACGATACTCCAGAACATCTTCTTCAAATCGTCAGTTATTCTCGAATAAGAGCTAGTTATTCAAGTCCTCATGGCACGAAGTGGCACAGTATTCTGCGTTCCCATATTTCCATTAATTGTATGGCACCCGAGTTCGCGAGCACTTGAAAACCATCATTGATTTTAGAGACTTGTAATCTTTTTCTTTTCTTTATATTCAGCTTTTATTCCACAAAATCTGAAAAGAGAAATTGGGATTATTGTTAAGAGAAAAATAATTTTTTAGCATACAGTTAGGAATATAAAATTTAATTAATTCATATATTACTGCAAAAGTGAGAAAATCAGATTATATGCAGATAATTTAGTTAGGTATCGACTTTTTGGGGATCGATGAAATTTTAAAGAAAGTTAATGACGATCAAGGGTTGACTGGGGGTCAACAATCGAATATGCATCAGCAATGGATCAGCATAATCAAAATCCAATTGATCAAATTAAATACTAGTATAATTTATAATTAATAGTTTATTGATATAATGCTATATCATGTAATAAGGAAGAAATCATGTAAAATAAATATAAAGAGAAAAATATATATGAAGAAAATATATTATGACGAAGGTGCAATGTAAAAACGCAAAACGCCAGAAAATTTAAAAAAAAAAAAAAAAAAGGTAAAACTTCTTCAGGAGATATATTTTCGTATACAAAGCCATTTTCAGAACTTAATGTTTGCATTTAAGATAATGAAAATCTGAGTGTGCCAGCATAGCTGATAGGAACGCTGAACTGCGATATAGTATTTGATTTTGACATTATGATTGTAAGAAACGTTGATTAGATTAAAGAAGGGAGCTCAAGCACAAGTCTTAACACATGAGCACAATTAAGTTTGGGAATTTAAAAGCTCTCATTGAGAAATATCCCAACATAAAAGTTGTTACAGAACCAACATTCCTGACTTTTTCCTCTTCTTACCTAATGCAAGCGCGTCTTAGTTAAGTCAATAATTTACTGATGAAATCAAGAAACAGATTAAATATTTTTGAACGAAATGATACCATCAACACCAAGTTAAACAATTTTATGCCAAATATTGAAAAAAATTGAATCGAAGCATCAAGTCGTATCATTCATTGGCATCGAACTTTTGTGCGATTAAAATTCTGTGATTTTATTTCTGGAAGTTTGTTTACATTTGTATAATTAAAAATAATAATGCAAAAAAATAATAAAACCTAAATCTAATAAACTTTTTTTCGAAAACTTTTGTTGGTATTCTTTATCTAATTGCTATTTTTATTTATTTATGTGCAATTATTTGTGTTACGATTATGTTCTATGCTGCACTTAAAAGAGAAAAAAATTAGGGCTTGATGAAAAAAAAAAACAACAACATTCTTTTAAAAGAGATCGATCTAAGAAAAAGTTTGAGGAACGCTGATTGACATTAACATTTCGGACAGCGGCGTAGCCAAAGTGGAGCAAGGGGGAACTTCTGTCCCCGGGCGGCGCAGCATCCAAAGAGCGCCAGACTAATGTAGCGAAATTTTAGAATGAAATGTTTGCCATGCCTGAAAAACAAGAGGAGGCGCAAAACTTCAGCTGTCCCCGGTTGCTGAAAGCCTTAGCTGTCTGTGGCTTTGATTTCGGGGGAGGGGTAGACGCTACCAGAAAAGAAATAATGACACGAATAATTGGAAAGTAATTAAGAAAGTATTACATTATGCATTTTGAAGTAAATTTAATTATTTGCAGATTAAATTAACCGATTCGTTAAAGTGCCTCTCATTAGTTGATCTGCATATTACCTACATCAATGGTCTAAAACTCACGGCTCGCGAGAACAGATCAGTTATGTATTTACTGAAAATACGGCTCTTATAATATCAAAGAAATACGGATATGGACCGTGTTTATGTGCGTCATTGCTATTGAAATTTAAAAAAAAAAAAAAAAAAAAAATGAATAAGAGGCTGGGACTCTGTCTTTTTCAATATATGCTTTTACACCAGGTCATGTGACTACGATAAGGTAGGAAAATATCCTAAGCTGGCACAATTAGTAAATTTAGTTTGCTAGTGGCGCTTCAGTATTTCAAAATTTCTGCTTTGCCGGTCAAGGTTGAAAGATGAAGTTTCATGTGTGCTATTAATTATAAAATTTTAATTCCTGTAATGAATGCTTTTAATTATTGCATATGGGCCGCCGGTAAGAGAAACGGTTTTATAATTTTAATTAAACGTAACTATAATTTAAATTAACTTTAATTCAAATAATTTGTTAATCAAAACTATTGCAAATTTTTATTACAAAAAAATCGCAGCTGTTTCGAAAGTGTTTATTCTTCTCCCTGCATACGATAAATCATTTAAAAATTTAAACAAAATTAAAAAGTTCTATTCACAAATGTAAATTTAATTTCTTCTTTTTAATCCCAAACAAATATTTCGCTGATCTTTTTACTGATTTTAAATACCGAAAAACGTCTATGAGATCTTTTATAGAAAATAAATACAAGGATACTTGCTTAGAATTCTTTAGGGGTTATAGCTTAGTTTTCTTTAAACTGGATCTGATATTTTCAGTAGAATTCTTTATTTGATTCTACACACATTATATAAGATTTTGTACATGACAGCGGCCCACCAGCAGCCGAGTGGTAAACTGGACCTTGATATTTTTGTTGGGGATTCGAATCTCGTAAAAAGAGCTGTCAACGTGATACAAGCCAGTTCCCTGTAGAAAGTAGTCCACGAAGACATCCCTACTGTTGGACATATAGCTCTCAAATGCTTTATCATAATCAAAATAATCCAAACCAAACTTTACACAGCAGCTTTAGAAATACTGTTACTGTGGATTCTTTACACAAATCTCTATAGAATACCTACGCATATCTTTATAAAATCTTTCTACGTATTAAATAATGCTAAAAAAGTTTGCAGAGACATTAAGATCTTTTTTTTTTCGGGGGGGGGAAGCCGGAAAGATGAAAAATGAGAAATCACCTTCTCCGGAAATTGAACCACGGACCTCTGGAATACCAGCCCAGCATGCAGAACCACTACACCACGAAGGCATGCTAGGAAGGCGGGAGAAATACCTGATATACACCCCCTTTTAAAGGGCGACTGGAGTTTTTAGGGGAACCAATCCCCAAGTTCTAGGTCTGGAGAATCCTCATCCAACACCCTTTTAGTTCGGGCGCCACTGTAGAGGCATTAGTTTATTATTTTTGGAAGCCAGAGAGATGAAAAATTAGCTACCGCCTTCGCCGGTAATACCGGCCCAGCGTGGCACTACACTACGAAGGCAGGAGAAATATAAGTTTATCATTGGAAATTTTTTTTAGTGTGTGTGTGTGTATAGAATTCTATAAGATATTTTTTGGTGAGTGTGGAGTTATCTTCAGTCCTACTAATTCAATTCCATTAAGGAAAACTGACTTTTTTGGAGCTATGGTATTAACCTAAAAGATAAGCTGAGGATCTTTTACTAAAGGGTATCATGGTAAAAAATTTCACAGTTTGAAAGGCCTGACTTATTTAATGCATGTTTTAAAACTACAAACTTTGGTCTACAGCTAACCCCGTCTCTTATATATAGTCACGTCGTGTATTTAATACTATTCGCATATAATCATTCGCTACTGTTGTACAGGATACTATTATATAGTCGTGAAATATGCTCTTATGTAATCGCATAGAGCAGTGGTCTCAAACTGGAAACTAAAAGCGAATTCATTTTAATTATGTAAATATTTATTGCTAATAGGATGTCGCAAAGAATTCAAGGTTCTTTGAATGCTGAGTTTAATTTATTTTCATAACGGTTAAAAACGAACGTGAATAACTCAGCAGAAAATCAATTAATAAAGTTAGTTAATTTACATCGCGATTTAAATCTTCCTCAAAGTTTTGAAGCTACAGGTTTGATTAATTTTTATTCGTTCGTATTGATACTTTATTGTTAAATGAAAACTCTCAGCTGTGATTTCTTCCACTAAGAATCATTGATTGTTCGTTAATACATTTATATAGAAACAACTTTCTTTCGCAGTTAAAAAAAAATAAGAAAAGAGCCCGATTGACCAATAAACATCTAAAATCCGTGTTAAAGATAATTTCTAGTAATTTCTCTCCAAGGCTACAAATTTTATCGATGAAACGCCAGCATCTGTCAGGATGTAGTTTTAAGAGGAATGTAGTTTTTATTAATTATAAAAAAGTGTATAATTATTTACAAACAAACATATGTATTTTTATTTTCATGTCGAAGATAAATTTAATAAATTATAAAGTTACATCAACCATGGAAAGTGAAAAATATGCAATGCCCTCGCCGGGACTCATATTCCGGATGTCCCAAATCCGCGTCAAATGTGCTTCCAGTTGCACCATGTAGGCACGCGGAAAGGAGAGAGAAAATACCTTATAAAATAATAAAAAGAAACTAAATTGTCGTTACGGTCTCGCGATTTTATGGAAAGTTTTCTCTGAAACTTAGAACGTTTACATAACAAATAAATTTATCAGAAATATTTGAAATGAATGTCGGCCTGAAATTTAATATTTAGCGTTCAATATGTTTGAATTACTAAATGTAGCCGACAAAAATGTCTTGCAAGTACTAAACGTTAAATTTCAGATAGAAAATAAATATAAATTCGAATTATATTCCTTTGCGTTATTGTTGTTTATGTTTTGGTAAATGTTTGTAAGACAGTCTTAAAATTTAGTCAAAATATTTTTCATTTTTTTGATAAAAACTGCTCTTAAGAGAAAAAAAATGAATTCTGACCCATCAACTGACCGGGCATTCGGCCATCATGCAATTTCAATTTCAGACCAATGATATGTTGTATACTAGCATATAGTCGTGAAAGATACTCGTATATAGTCCTAAATAATATACTATAGTATTTAGTCATGAAAAATACCTGTTATAATCGTGTAGTCTGTCTGAAACATCCTGTCTCTGCATTCTGTGGCACTTAAAACCAAATTTCCATTACAAAGGATAGTGGCATTCCACGTCAGTTAAACATAAAGCGATGACTCAAATGTCCAGAATAAAATCAGTCGACTTTAATTGTTACTAGTTAAATAAGTGGCTGTTGCTTGTACCTGTGCAATGCATCTCAGCTGCAAAATGAAAGCCAACTATCACGCAATCTCAGTGAGTAATCGTCATTTCAGAACGCCTGGCAAGAGACATTTTGGCAAAGACATG